TGTTATATCTTAACTTATCATTGCTTAACTGCATCCTTTAATGTTGTTTAAGCAGACATGGATATAGAGAAGGGTGGTCTAGGGGGTTTGCACCACACTTAATTTCTTCTGGAATTAATAACTATTATTTAATGTATAAATAGGTGCAGATCTGTGGAAGAAAGCTAAATGCCCTTCAACCCATTTTTTTGTACTTAAATAATAACTGTAAACTTAGGCACTTGTCCTACATTCAGGGGCATAAAGATCCAATGTAGGGCTTGAAATAACAAATTTAAACAATAATTTGTATTTATATGCTTAATATATTTCACACAATTTAATTATCAACTATATTTTCACCTTACAGAAATAATGTTACACATACTTTATTACTTTTACTAATTCATCTCTACAGCCTCAGTGTTTGTCGATACTCTGGGTGCTTCTTGATACACCACATTAGAAGTTCTTCCATCCTTCCTCGTACAAAATAAAGAGATTTCTTGGTGATCCTACTCTTGAAAACCCAACATAGAATTGATCATATGTAAAGCAAGGGGTTTTCAGATGTATCCCTGCCACTTTAAGGGTTTGACCTTGTGCTTTGTTTGCCATTTTTCATGGCAAAAATGTGAATTTTTGACATTTGTAATGAATATACTCAAGATAAAGTTAGAAATAAAAATGTCCAAGATTGTGGAATTATTAACTAAACAAGTGCATTTTTGCCGTGGATGTGGCCTAGGGTGGATGGGACCAGGTAGTAACCACCTTATGACATGCCTCTTGGTCCAAAGACCATGGAGTAGTTTGTGGATAAAAAAATTGTGTTTACTTTTATAATTATAGATTAGTTTATGTTTTAGATAGATGTGGATTTAGAGGAAGGGAGGGCTAACTGCCTCACCATTGTTTCAGAAATTAATGATTATTATTTAATGTTGTATAAGTAGGTGCAGATCTTGGGGTATCTGACTCCTCCTCTCTATTTTTTCTAGAAAGTAATAAAAACAGCCAGACATCTTTAAACTACCATAAATTATCAAAAAAGAATAGGTGTCAGTATTTTTGTTTGATTAAGCTATAAATTACCATAAGAGCTTTTTTGAGGTTTTCTGAAATCAACACAGCTGGGAGAGTACAGCACTCAAGTCAAGACCTTAGCCAAATATTTTTTTTATTTGTAACCTAATTACCAACAAGAACATCAATTAAATGTTACCATGGTAAATTTTCTTGTCTTCCTTTTTTTGGAAACTAGCATTGTGTTTAGACTTCAGAGATTTATTTTAGTCAGATTTATTATTGATTAGGACTCCTGTTTACCCATGCTATAATTTTCATTCTAAATATGATTATAAATAACTAAAACTATTTAATTCTAATTTTAAAATTTTAAATGTTTGTCATTAAGTGCTTTTATCTTCATATCAATCATTTTTGTAGAAATAGAGACATAAGCTTTAAAATCACTGGATTATCACCTGATGGAGCTAATCATTTACAAAATATATTAGTATTATTTTAACTCTTAAGTATTTGGCCTACTTTAGGATTGGATGGTCAACATCAGTTAATTCAAAATAATATATTATTGTGGTCCCTTCTTTCATGTAAAAAAATACTGATCATTTGGTTAGTGTTACGCTGCTAACTTTTAAGAAGTTAACTGGTATGATACTGTTGTAAAAATTACTGCAGCTTGTGTTGAGAAATTAATTGTTGTTTCTTATTCATTTCCTGATGGTTTTCAAACTTTATAAGGTAGTTAAATTTATTTTGTGAGGTAATTCTTTGTTATTCTAATTTTTATGTTTTACTTTTTATTTAGGCTACTTGAAGAATATTAAAACATACTAGGTTTTTATGTTGTTATAAAAATTTTAAAAATGTAGCATATCAATAAAACTTTTTCCAGGCAGTCTTTGTCCATCCTTGTATATAGAGCAGTGTTGGGGAGTTTACTTGAAGAGTTAAACTCTTATATCTAAAGAAAAAAACAAATACTGTCCTTGAAATATGTATTTCATACACAAATGTAATTTCAGTTTTAAAACTTTTGATAATTGTTTTATAATGTAGTGCGTGTTCACCTATATAGGGGCCAGGACAGTGCCAAGTATCTCAAGCCTGGGGGATCTCGGAGGTAAAATACCATTGATTCAAATTTTAAAATTAGTTTTAACTTGCATATAACTTAGGTGTGGCTTTAATTTTGTTAATAGTCATCTTGTAAGCTTTTCTATACATACATTTTTTTTTAAAGACAAATCTGTAAACATTATTAAAATTAGGCCATAATTAAACACCTGGATATTAAATGATAACTGGATTATATCTAATTTTTCACCATTTGTTATATGTAATTACACAGTAATATTTTATAAAATTGTAAAGGAAGAGAAAATATGTAGAAAATGTTATATTGTAAAAAATTTTACAGCATCATAGTATGAAAACTCACAAGTTTCTCTATTAAAATGGATTTTTTATCCTTAACATGTTGCGAGCATGCTTCCGTAATATTTTGTTGTTGTCATTGTCTGTAATGTCTTACTATCCATTAAGACATAAAATAAATAGAATATTGAATTTTTTCACGGACTTCAAAATAAATGTGAACTTGTCCATTGTCTTTAGACATAAACTTGATATTCCAATGCTACAGAAATTTCCCTTTTTGTTTGTTCAAGACCAAAATCTAGAAGGAAATAGCATTAAACAATTGATCATCAGTGTAGTTTACCAAATCCAGGTTGTTTTTAACAGTTATTGCTACTGTAGATTAGAACCAGTGTTTTATAAGCATATGGAAATTAACTATCTAATTATCAGCTTTTACATACATACATCATTCTATTGAGTGTTTCAGTATTCAGTGTAAAGAAGTGATCAAAACAATTGATGGTCACTCTGATTTTCTGTGATAATACATAAATGATCCCAACAGTAATTATTATTGGGCCTAATTGTAGTATTGATGGTATTTTTTACACTTTGTTTTATATGTGTTGACTTGCATGTTGTTATTAGGGCCTTCATAACCAATAAAGTCATAGACTTGCAATTTGGTGCATAAATATTTCAGGAAACTGGGTTTAAAAAACTGCAATAATTCTAGGTTTAAGTCAGCAAAATTAAACCACATTTTCTGCATTGTTATTGAAATGTTGTAGACTTTAAATAAAATTTATTTTAAGCTAATATTCTAATTTAAAGACATTTCCTTAGTATAATTTGGTGATAGTAATTAACAGTACATACAGGTTTAGACTTATAGTTGTAATGCTCAAGTTTAAAAGTAATCATTATAGTTTAAAGTGAATTATTTATAACAAAAAAAAAAGGAGATAGTGGAATTAAAGGTTGCATTGTTTATTGCATAGAATTGTTGCTGTTAAAATTTTTTTAGCTATAACATTTATACTGTAATACTTACAATAAAAGAGATTTAAGTGTGGTAGTGCTAATTATAATAGAATAATTGATTGTTGTGTAAATTCTAAAACACCATAGTATATAGCAACATTTCTTTAACCCTAGAATTATTGATGGGGTCCCTATCAGCTTTTTAACTCACATTTTTCTAAATTGTCTGGTAGTCTCTAATAATAGAAGATAAATGAAAAATTCGGAATTTAAAAATAGGGATCATAAAAAAAAGAAGAAGAAGAAGTAAGGGAACAAAGCTGGAGATACAATGGACATTATTTACTCAAACTACAAACCCCTATTTTGCCTCCATACTGTTACCTAGAATTACATTTGGTGGAATCAAAATAGGGATTTGTAGATTGAGTGAATAATGTCAACAGTATCTCCAGTCTTGTTTGCTTACTTTTTATGTCTCATTTGCAGGTTTTTAAATTCCTAATTTTGTATTTATCTTGTTTGTTCTCTTTCTTTATATACATCTCAAACATTGCTTTAAATAACCCTTTGTGTCTTTTAAAGTAAGTATTTTACAAATGTGTATAATAGAATTTAATATTATGTGTATTAATTTTTTTTAATCCTTCACTTCATACATAATATAGCGGTTGACTCCCTAAATACACCACTTGTATAGTGTACAAAGCATTGGCTATCTACATGTTTTAATCATCTAATGTTCATCTATTATTGGCTGGTAATTCCTGTTTCACCCTGTACTTAGCTTTTTAAAGGAACACCAGATATTTATAAGAAAGCTGACTTCTAAGGATAATGATAACATCATTTACACTAGAATTATGATGTTTTTAGCTTATGTAAAATATAGAAGAAACAAATAGACTTTTTAATAACCTTACAACCTTCGCAGTACCTTATCTAGTATTCTACAGAAGTTTTGGGTGCAATATACCAAACCATTTTTGTTCTAGGCTGGCAAGAGAATAATAATAGTGAGAAGAAAAATGACAAACAAGCCGTTTTGAGTGTGTTTTCTTTTCCTTGTATGTCTAACATGCGTGCTTTTTTGTGCATTTTTATATGTGTACAGCCTCAGTAGTCAATAGTAAAGGTTTTAAAGCATTTGAATTGAATCTTTACTGAATCTAAGTTTCAAATGGACAGCAACTGCCTGTTGTAGAACTCTACATTTGTAGGTTTCTACAACAGGCAGTTGCTGTCCATTTGAAACTGAGATTCATTATGGATACTCTGCCTAAACAACCTATCATTGAATCTTTACTGTCTGAGGTGCTTTTTGCCCAAAATTCTATTAGGGTTTTATGCAAAATACAGTATCAATATTACACTTCTATTAATTTGTGCTGGTATCCACTAGGTATCTTACATAAACAATTGGTGATTTTGCTCAGTTCATTGAGTGTTGTAACAGGCAAAATTAAGATTTCTCAATACAATGCAATATGTGAACCCCAAATTTAGTGAAAAGTATTAAAAGGGGTGAGGTCTGTAATTTAAATATTAAGCTATTATGGTCTTATTATTAAAGCCGTAAATCATTTCTTGAAATACAAAACTCTTTATGGGTCTAGTTTCTTAAAAGAATGGTGTTAACTAGTTTGTGCTGTGCTAGCCAAAGCTGATGACCATTTGCCCTCAATAAGCCACATAAATGTGGAACACACACAGTTATTTCTAGAAACTGTTAACTGTTATTGAAGTCAGAATGCAAAAACTGTTAAGAAATTTAGTATGAGTTTTATTGTTAAAACCAGTTTATTGGAGTAAATTAGTATGAATTACTTAGTGAATTGTTTTAGGATTTTTTATTCGTGTTTTTTTGAAGGTCTAATGATGCCTTAAACATTGATATATTTTATAAAGATTTTCTAACTTCAACAGGAGATCAGTCTGGAAGATGGTTATGACTTGGCCACTGCCTGGATGGAAGAGAGTGGTGATTCAGAAGTTATTCGCAAGTAAGTGAAAAGTTTATGATCTGGAATAAATACAGAATTGCGGCTACATTATTTATTTAAAAGAAAAAACATATACGCATTAGTATTTCAACCAGTTTTCAACTCATACATCTAGATCGTATATCATTAATGTTTATTTCATAGTTAACAATGTGAAGAAGTAAGATTAATAGCCAAGTAACTGTCCATCAGTCTTCCTAAACAAACAACAGAATTAAAAGAAAACTTACATGACCAGTTGTACATGGAGTTGGAAATATTCATGAGTTGGCTTGTAAAAGAAAATAACCTGAAATAGAAAATGTCTCAGCCTCATCGTAGATATAAGAAGTGAAAAAATGGAAGAATTCATGAGAGTCAAAGCTTGAAATTTCAGTCTTGTTCATAGCAGGAGAGGCTTAAAGCTGAAAGCTGTAGTTTTTGTTTGTTTTCTAGAACTTTTTAAACTAGAATTTTTAAGGGTGGTACACTGTTTTGTAAAGTTAGGATTTTTTTAAGAATAGTGAATAGTTGTTTTATGTTCATACTATTAAGTTTGAATATTTGTTGAAAGAACATTTTGCACATCTATTGGCTGCTTCATCCACAGTTTGTCATACCTGAACTTTTAAAACACATGAACAATATCTTATACTGGGATTCAAAATACAAAATTGCACTGATGTTTTATGTAATGTTTTTATTTATAGATGCAAGTAATACTCTGTTTTATAGTTGTGTAAGAAGTATTAAAAAAGAAACACTTTTATTTATTTTTTTAATGTTGATTTCTTTAACTCTCATTTTGTTTATGATTTCTCTGTGTTACTGTGTTTGATATCCCTACATTGTTACACAGTATTTTGTGTACTCCCTAAATGTTTTGCATTAAACAAGATTGGTACTAAATATTTCAAATAATCCAGAAAATAAATGTAAATGTGGTTCCTGGGCTTTGGTGTATTTGTAACAAAATTGATACTCTGTTAGATGATGTTTAAAACTAAAAAATAAACAAAGAGAAAAGCCCCACCAGAGGTGTGAGTGTACGTACCTTCATCCTCATCAGACTAAGTTTTTGTGTTGACACTAAAGTAACATTTTATGATATCCTCAGGAGTCTATTGGAGATTGTAGATGAGGAACTTCTGCAAAGGTATGAACATCTTTCTGTCATTTGCCTGCTTTTTATTTCTTCAAGCTACTAAATTATCCTGATTACCTGTTATTGAACTACTGAAATCTTCCTCTCCTTGGCAAGCCATGCTTTTCTCTATTTTTGCCCAATATGTAATCACATTTAGTTCAACATTCTTGGGGCTTATTTTATCTTGCTGTTGTTATTTTATGTTTTTAACATTTTTGATTCACAACTTTTGTAGGATAGAAGGTTTTAGAAACACTTTCAAATATAAAATTACTTATTTCTTATTTTTAAATTATCACAGTTAAATAACTGAAAATACAACATAAAATATTTATAAAGTTTATTTACTTTGTAAGTGTTGTTATTAAAAGTGTGTTGCAAGTATGAAGTATAATCAACATTGTAAACAAAGCAAAAGCAAAAAGATGCTTATGTGGTCAGCAATCATTGTGAGTGTATGATAAAAATGTTTAACGTAGGAATGTTTTCATATAAGTGAAAATTGTTATCTTGCTCGTGTATTCAAAATCTTGTATATTGCATATTTACATACTTGGGACACCATAGACTCATACAAATAAGTAAATAACTCTTACAACAAGCAGTTTTATGGGTTTTCATTTCATATATAAATTTGTAATAAAAATATCTCTTTACATATATCCAGAAGATCATCTTATAGTACTTTAATATTCTTATTTATACATATTTGTTTTTTTACACTGCTGTTACCCCTATAAGATGTTCTTCATTAACTTGGGAAAAGCATTGAATTAAAGAGTTTCATCAAGATTTATAATGAGTGCTCCATATGAGTCATTAAAGTACAACAAAATTTTAATCCAATTTTCAGTGCTGCTTCTAGGACATGTACTTTGTGTATTTATGCTATTTTGATTGCCACTAGCATAAAATAATTGTTTGCCTGCATACTAGTTCAGGCAAAAAAAAAGTACATTTTAATTTCTTGTGTGTGCTCACCATTCGAAATGTATTATGAATGACTTTGTAACAATAGGTCACGATTGTGATTGGAAAATTCCAAACAGTAATTAGCTTTTTTGAATATGTAAAGGGATGTGATTGGCTGCGTTGTGACATCATTTGGTTTTGCGGGATATTCCCTTGATATTATGAGATCTTGATGACTAAAAGCGACAGAAAAATGAAAGGTATGAAGACATTCAAGAGTGATTGATGTTTTAAAAAAATTACTACATTTTTTCCATCAATATGATGCAAAAAATAGAAATAAATAAATAAAGGAAAAAGGTGCAGGGAAGACAACTGCAATGTAAATTTTGGCAGTGAATGCGTAGATGTTTTGATGAAAGTGGATTAATTGATCAGATTTAGCTTATATACCACATTTTACAATGTTTTCAGCATATACATCAAGGAAACAAATTGCAATGATCTTGATACTTGATAATGTTATACTTTTATGACACACACAACATTGATACCTATTTCATTACATGAATGGCTGACTTTCTTAAGTCAGTGGGGGATTTGGCCCACTTGAAAAAAATCCTAGAAGCAACACTGAATTTTTATATATATAACTGTAAGGGTTATAAAAGATATTTGACTAGTATTCAGTATCATTAAGAACCTATGGTTGAAATGTTTGCATCATTAACAGAATTTGTTTAACCTAAAACCTACTATAGGCTCTAAGAAATAAGAAGTAGCATATAACAAGCTAGCATAGAAGGTCAGTTAATTATAAACTTTGATAATATAGAACAGTATTAACACTAATTTGTTTTAGCAAAAATTACACAAATTATTAACCTCTGTTATCAGCAACATGTTTTGTGTTAATGTATAAATTTGTTTTACTGATATTTTTTTAAAGCATATGATCCTGCTTTCTTATATCAGTAAACAATTCTTATTAAACTGGAAATGAAATAATTTTAGTGTGATGAATTGACATAATGATTTTGTAGGAGTTATCTTAGTTATTCTAATCATACTAAATTATTAGTCAACAGCAACACTAGTTTCTAAAGTAATCTAATATGCTTTTAAATTTTTTTTAACATAAGGTACTGTTTTCTTAATATATCTTTATCAGTTGGTTGTCAGCCAGAATAACTGTTTAGTAGGTTTAGATGTATGTGATTTTCATTCATGTGAAATTACACTCAAATCAGTATATCACAGTTTATCATTCCTTGAAGACACTTTTTTCAGTAGGGTTTGTCCTTGTTCAGTACTTAAAGTTAAGAGTTTGAAGTTTAAAAAGGCATTGAACATATCCAGACAAGACTAGGCTGTTATTAAACAAAGTTTCATCTCTGTAAAAGACTATTATTAGAACTAATGGGCACTAGACAGGACTATATACATATGAGTATTCACCTAAAGTTATCATTTGTTAAAGTATTGTTACAGTTTTCTACTTAGTCTGCAGTTTATTTATTTTTTTACAGAATTTCACATTTATTTTTATATTAACTTATGTACCCATAATTTCCAGTATCCAGTGAAACTTATTGAAACTGTTTAAATAAATGTACAAACTATTTGTTTATTTAACTTCGAGAAAACCCACTTTCACTGATCATGAGCCAAATATTCTACCTGATCAGTGCTGGAATTGTTATGGGTTAACTGGAGACTTCAAAGCTTTTCCCTACTTTTGTTGATTTTTCTAAAAAAAGCTATTGCTTGTTATTTGTATGGGTTGAGAGCTACATGTCACTGCATTGGGTGATATTTAGACCCTAAATATTATGGTACACAGGTTGCTAGAAGAACTCCGGATAGCAGTATCCTCTGCATATTGAGATGTAAGTATATGGTTTAAGGAAGGGAATGGGATATCATTCACAAAGATGTTATATAATGTTGGGCTTAACACTGACCCTTGGGGGACATCGGCTTTGAACGTGAAGGGACTGGAGTCACATTGTTAATCTTAACTTTAGCTGCTCTGTTGGTAAAAAAAACTGGATGTCCAGCATACAGTAGGGGTGGGTAAGTAAATATCAATTACTTTAATGCAAAGTATTTTGTGCTGTACTGAATCAAAGGTTTTTATTGGACGTCTAAGAAAGTAGCTGTAGTTGTATGCTTTCTGTTGAAATTACAATAGATGGTTTCAGTAAGGCTAACTAGGTGGTCAGTGGTTTGTCTATGTTTTCTGCCTGAATTCTATAGGTTGTTAATAATATTGTTGGTTTCTAGGTATGTGTTTAATTGGTTTGTGATTAATTTCTCCATCAACTTACCAAGGGTTGTTTAGCAAGCTAATGGGCCTGCAGCTGCCAAGATTAGTTAAGTTATGATTTTGTTGGATAGATTTTTCAGGATTAAATTGTGAATTCCATCCTTCCTGGGGCTTTGCATTTTATTTTCCTTAGGTTAATTTTGATTTCTGCTAAAGGTATAGAGTGGGTATGCAAATCATTAGAACCAGAAATATGAAGATTTTGGTCAAAAAAGTGTTGATTATTAGAAATCTGTTGATTTACATTGTTGAAATGTGGTTTGTCAAATGAAGTAAGATTTGTGGTTACAAAGGTACTTTCAAAATATTGGGCAAAAAGTTTGGACTGTTTGTTATCAGTAGTGGCAGTGTTGTTATATTGAATTTTATTTATGGTGTTGTTTGATTTGTTGTTTGTGATAGATTTAAACTTTTTCCAGTATTTGGAATTTTTGAGTTTGGATTTATCTTTTCCAGTTATCATGTTGTTGTTGTAATATAAGTTTTTTAACTCTCTCAACCTGGGCTTGGTCAATTTGACCAACCATGTGACCTCTTTGTACTCATATAAAGTCTTTTATAGATTTGATACTACTAACTTTTAATATGGTATATATATCTTCACAAAATTTAGCAGTCTTTCAGTAAACATTATAAGTCTTTCACATACAAAAAATAAACTAAAAAAAGATTTGTCCGCGAATATATTGAGTATTTGCTTTGAATAGTCCATGTGCAAAGTGATTTTCATGTTAAGATTAAAAATATTTTTCTTCATCTCAAAAATCTCAGATTGATTTGTGTAATTTCTAATATCTCCTAAATACATTTCAGATATTTGTTTTCAGTTAAACTGTATATTTTGTATGTTATTGTCTCAACCCTAATTCTGTACACGAGGTTGGTCAATTTGACTGACCTCGTAGCCATCAAAAAAAAATCTAACTAAATTTAAATTACCCTTCAAATTAGAACATGAAACTACATTCGTTTATCCTAAGTAGCTTTAAACTCATAATAGTATACATCTATTTATAATTAAATTTTATTGTTTTATTGCTCTTTGAACTGTGTGTAACAACTGTTTGCATCATTAGAAGTTGTAAATCACTTTGGGAACGTTGAGCTCACGTTATGCTATCGAATTACATTACCCATGAACTGCTTGCGTGCATGCCTCGTGAAACATATATCATTATTATTTATTTTACCTAATCTAATCTTTACTAACCTAAAGATATCCCTATTTTTACAATTTAGTTACTTTTATAATAAGAAATAAACATTAGAAACAAAAAAATAAAGAACTTACCCGATTGATGTCGATTGTTGGTGACACTTAACCTTACTTTTTTTATAGTAATGTTGACTTTGTAACGTTCTTGTCGCATAGTTAGAAAGCCAGAAAATTTGTGATAGTTAGTGGACAATGTCTAATTTTTGCATTTTATTATTGTATGTTCTTTTGTGCATTATTTAATGAAATAAAATTATTTAGTGCAAAGTTAGTCATTATCTTTCCTGTGGGAATGAAGCTTGTACTAATGGTGAAATTGACAATTCATTCTCCATTCAGAAAACAACGTTATATAATACGTCATTTGATAGATGAAAAACATTGACATTCTTTTGGTTATAGATAATATAGAATTAAGTGTTAGAGAGAACTATCAACAAATCCTGAAAGAGAGTATGTGACAGGTGGGTGTAGCAAGAGGCATGTGATTTTCTATTTGATGGCTCTGTAAACAAACAAAATTGAAGGATATAAAGATTATGGTTTGTCTGAGCAATGACAATTTTATAGTGAGTAATGTATGTTGAATTTCATACTAATTGGAGAGGTGGTGGATTAAATAGAGAAGAGGAGATGCCTAGAGAAAATGTCATACTAGGGGAAATTCAGGATTTTTTAAAATATTGCCATATAAAATTAAGAACTTAAAACTTATATACTATTAATATATGGATTATTAGCTAAGATTTGATGCTATACAAATTGGTACAACATAAACAAAAAGTACATTAATAAAATTTTGAATATAATTCACTAAAACCTCGTGGCATATGCAGTAAAGACTGTCCATCGTGATAGGGTTAATAAGATTATATTCATGACATTAATGAGTGGTTAAGTGTAATATTGCAGGTTCATATGAAGTCGTGTCTGAGCCATCTGTGGGTAATTATTAATTCATGAATTTTGGAAGTAAATTTCTAGAATTGTATGTCAGAATTTGTTAATTTGCTAGAGATTGTTTCTTTGATGGCTTGGGTCAAAGCATTGATTGCATCAGAGGTGTAATTATCATAGCTGCAATGTGCTTTGTTTAAAGGGTAGGCAGTTCATGACTCTTTGGCTTGTGAAATAACATGTAAAAATGTTTGCATGTTCTGCACTGAGTTCCTGAGAAACATTCTAAATAGTAATCATGAATGAAAGTGGAAATACACTTGTAGAAAGAAATCTTAATGCCCTCTGGACAATGTGCTAGAATGTGTTAAAGTACTTCATGCAGAGTAGGAGTTTCATGCATAAAGCTTGGAGTCTAATCTCTCCTGGTATGACCTTGCAATAATTGGATGAATATATTTGCATTATGTAAGTAATTATTAAAAACAGTAAATGCACAATGAAAAAAATGACTGTAGAATCCAAAGATTAGATCTGTTATTTCCAGTAAGAGTATTAGTCTTTCGTTAATGAAAAATTCTGGTGCTTTTCTGGCATTTTTGGCCTTTTCTGAAACAATATATATGTATTTATTTTATTTTAGTTTTTTTTTGTTTGTTTATGTTCTAAGAGAAATGTTTTCATTAAAAAAAATTAAAAACTCAAAAATTTGAAATATTTTAAATGCTTGCTCAATGGATAGGGCTAGATACCTAGCTATGATTGGGCCAATCATGAGGTGGTTTTCTGAAACTGTCAGTGGTCTATTAGTAAAGGGTGTATTAATTGCTATGGTAATAGATTTTCAATTTGACATGAAACACGTGCGCAGAACAGTTAGGGGCTGTTTGTGCTAATAGACCACTAATATGATTTTCAGATATAGATTCTCTTCTTGACATACCTTAAGAATATTATGGCACCATCTTCATTGTAGTGTAACCAGTTATTTATCCCTCTCCCACTTGCCCCTGTAATGACTTTTCCACTTTTTACTTTTCATGCTCACGGTCCCATTGCCTTTTTTTCTGTTACATTCTTTTTCAGATCATCAACATTTGGTTTTCTTCATTTAAGGAAATTTTAACTGTGTGATATGGGCAACTTTTATGCCATGTTCTCTGTGATTTTGACTGAATATATTTTGGCAACACTGGTCTGCTACAGGTAGACTTATTTGTCAGTACAAAGTCCTTTTGCAACAAAAATGTGGTGATATCTAAAAAATGTAGATGATCCCAAAAAGAAATTCTTTCATTATTTATTTTGATTAACAAAGGACACTAACTTAAGTGTAACTCATCACCACCTAAGCCATTTTAGAGCTATTTGCATGTTTTCCATATGTTGCTAATTTGAGGATTTTGCTTATACAAATTCAAATTCATGAACTACTAATTAATAGTTGTTTCAGGATATGAAAGAAGAAATTGCTATAAAGTTAGTGGTAATGTAAATTGTGTGATTTTTGGATCTCTCCATCAAAGTGTTTAACATTTTGTTGGCAAATATGTGTCAGATAGATGGTAATGGGTTATTTTGGAACAAGAACAGATTACACTGGCAGTGATGCAAAGATTTACTTTTGTTTATATTATGATTAGGAAAGGACACTACTTGTTACTGTTATACCATGCTTTAGAGGGAAATTAAAGATTATATATGAAATAAAAATCATTTAAGTGGCCAGAACAAAATGAAATGGTTTGACTTGTTTTTTATTCATGAAATATGAGTTCACAACAAAATAAATTGAGATATGTTGATACCTTTCAATTTACGCAACGTCCTCTATTTAATTCAGTGATTTTTCTGATAGTCTCCACTATAGGGTACATTTTACGAGATATAGGATTGACCCCTAAAACTACTTGGGAGCCCTCTAAAAGTGCATGTTTTGAGGCCTGGCTAGCTCCCTAAAAAAATAGGTTTAAGCTTTGGTCAAAATATTAATCATAATGAGGGGTTATGCATATTAGCTTTATTAAAACATCATTTGAACATAAAATTATTCTAATAATTCATATGGTATTTATTTGTGGGTAAACTTAATATGTCCTACTGAAAAAGTATGTAGTTGTTTTAATGCAATTGGTATATATTACCTAACTCTGGTAAGACAGTACCCACATTTGAACTTTAGATTTGATAACTTGCTCTGTTGCTCTTTGTTATTATTTGTTCATAGTTGTGTAACAGTGTTACCTGATTTTGGCAAGTATCGGTTTTCTGTTTGAAAGTTCAGAATGTCCAACTTGTTCAAAGGTATGGAATCAGACAAACACAACAACTTCAAATTGATGCTATTAGGTCCATATTGAGAAGGTAATGAGTATACTGTCAGACAACTGACCATTTTGTCATTAGACAACTTGAGCAAGTTTGTGGAAGATCAACTACACCAAGGCTTCTTGTCATTACCAATGAAAAATTAGTTTGTTTTTGGAGATCCAGAATTGAACAGTACATCCAATTCAACATAATTGAATATAATTATTTTGGTTGCGGATTTTTTTGTTGGTCAGTCTTGAGCTCTATAGTTTCTTGTTAAGGGCAACAAGCATTATCCTGAATCAGAATAAACTCTAGTCCAATTATATCTGCAGATGATACTACAACTGGGTCTAATTTCTCATCAATGCATTGTTAAATATTAAACCCACCCATCAAAGGCACAATAAGATGTGCATGTCCATACTGATGTCTCCCAAGATCATAACTGATTTTGATTTAAAACCTATAAAACATTTTCGAGACTTCCTTGAGGATTACATACATTGTTAACTTAGCCCACCAAAATATTTTCAGAAATTTCAACATTGCACTGACTGAGGTTTGGACAAGATCCCCCTGATGTTATCTTCCAACTAATAAAAGTATACCTAGCAGATGCAGACACTGTATCATTACCAAGACTGTCCACTTTCATTATAGAGGGTTTTTTTTCTTTTTGTTTATCATTTTGCCAAATTTAACTGTTTCATAAAAGTTGATGCATTAATTCCATTAAAAGAATAAATTGTGTTACTTGTATGCTTTGAATTAAGCACTCTTGTTCTTTTGGTTGAATAATAATAATAATTTAACTATTAGATCTTGCACTTTTGTTTTTTATAATCTGTTAGGGTGAAAAATTCAGTTAACCATACATTAGTTTTGATCAATAACAAATTTCCAATCACAATTAAATTAGGTAGCAGATTCACTACATTGACTGACTTGCTTTATCGGTGTACTCTGTGTGAAATATGTTTAAAGTGGGTCATTTGTATATAAAAGTTAGAATCCCTTTATTGTTGCACTTACCTTTATTCTGGTTGTGTTGTTATACTTTCAGTTCTTTGTTTCCCTTCTGTATTTACGTATTATTAACATTGACCAGCTTACTGCCCCAAAGAAACTCAAGCTTTTTTTATTTCATTTTCCTCTGTATTTCCTGTGTAATTTCAAAATTTAATTTGTTATTTGCTAAATTTCAGTTCTTGCTTCAAACTGCTGTTGTTTTTCTTAAACATGAGCATTTCCTTAACCACTGACATGTTTCTGTCTATTTGTCTCATTTAATACAGGATTTGGTTTGTTCTATTTTACCCCTAAAAGTTGACAATGAAAGTTATTTTTTTATTTTATTTTTCTTATCATTGCTCAACCTGGACTGATATTTTTCTTTCCCCATCCCACTAAACTCCACACAGTTCCACTTTGTCTTAAGTCATGAAGTTTTACTTCCTATAATATATATCAGTCTTAATTGCTGCAGTTTATCTAATTTTAAAGTCCTTCTTATGAATCCACTTCTCTGATTCTGATGTTTTGTTTTCTAGTTTCTATTAAACTTCTCAATTCCCCAGTGTGTCACGTTGCTTTACATTTTTATTTCCTACTCTGTACTCTCTACTATATCACATTCAATATTTTACTTTCTACCTTAATTCATTTTCACCACTGTATCATCTACTGTTTTAATTTCCTTGCTTACTCTTCTTGTTGCTTTATTTGCTTCATGGTCCTGATCTAATATCACTGCTTTACTTTTCATGTTCTGTTTTTTTTTTTTCCATATTTAATCATTCTTATGGCTTTTCTATTCTTACTGCTCCACTGTCTCAGTTTCTGATGTTTTACTTTTTATCTCCTGCTTAGTTCTCACTATTATACTGTCTCTGCTTCTAATGTTTTATTTTCCACCGTCATTTTATTTTCATTGATTTGCTTTCTCATTTCCATATGCTTCACATCCCATGCCTTCTTTTAATCACACTGTTCCCAACTCTTAGCATTTAATATTGTATCTTCCATATTACACTTTATCTCTGCTGTTAAACTCTTAATTGTTTTTGGCTACCAAAATAGTTCTTTTAAAACCCTTTTCTGCTTTTGACTTTTCTGGGGCTTCCCTTACAGGGGCCACCCAGAGAGCTTGGCGGAGCTTGAAGAGGATCTCATGTTTACCCAGCAGTAAGCTCTTTATGTTAGTGTGTTGTAGATTAACCTCTGTACTGGTGCATTTCTAACCACAAAGCTTTGTATCTCTTATGATGGTGTATTGTTTTCGTATGACTGATTAATTGAGCCAAATAAAATAAATCATTGTCACATGCTAGATAAAATTTCTTTCTAACTATTTAAAATAGAAGTGTTTTATAAATAAGTTAGTTTGATTACTTAATGTGCATATTTTTTCCTTGTCTGAACTATTGTGAGTTTAAAATAGGAGACTTACAACAGAATTATGAAACACTTATTTTTAACTAACAAATAGTTTTGTGTAATGTTTGCAAAATATGAAATACCAGGTTAACTGCTGTTACTGTAGCTAAATTCCATATACAAAAAATAAGCTTTAATGTAAGCTGAAATGTAAATCATAAAGTATCATGTTGAGCTATACCTATGATTTTGTCTGTTCTTTGTTTTTATTGGCAGTTCACATGCTTTTGTTACTACTACCACTTTACACATGTTTATGAACAATGTATTATGAAGAACTGTCCTGCTTTTTGTGTGACTTTTTTTCTCTAGTACTGTTTACAATATCAGTATCTTGTAAATTATATCATGATGAACTATTTAAACTACTGTTTTGTTGTTTTTATCAATGTTGAGACTTTCAACATCTAGTTTTCAGTGCTGTAAAAATGTACATTGTATCATGGTGAGCTATGTTTAGTGTTTTCCATTTGGCATTTTTTTGTTATCATCAGTATTGATAGTTTAAGTATTTAACATATCACTGACTTGTTTATTTTTTTTCTGGCCATTTTGTCATTGGTAATAAACATTTTTAACATCTTGAGAGCTAGTAATCAAAAATATTAGTCTTATGTGATATATATTATGATGAGTTATGCTTCTTCATGTGTATCACATTCTTTATTGATTGTGTATGGATTTGGTCATTTCGACTGACCATGTAACCATAAAACTACACATACTCTAACCGAATATACTATTCAAGAAATTTGGCTGCTTGTAGTAGACATTACAAGTCTTTTGGACACAATAAATCTGATTTTCTAATTAAGTGTTTTTACTAAATATTTGTCTGAATTTACAATCTGGATAGAAAGTGAGTTTTCACACTAACAATAAAAACACTTTTCATTTTACAGTTTTCATATGTTATTTGATAAACTATAGAATCTCCTTATTGAATATCTTTTGTTTTTGGCAACACTGTACTTTTCCTCTTATTTTTCTCTATCCTAACATTAGCTGTAGCAAAAGTTTAAAAATATGAAATAAAATCAAAAATACTATTTTTGTCTAGAATGGCTTTATATTGTAACAATTGGAATTATTTATCATAAGTGCTTTAGGCCTCTTCACCTTTCATAACTTCTTCATTTAGTTTTATCATTACATTGCTCTTTAAATCATGGTTAACTATCACAACAAGCAATATATCACCCATTGGGAGTGTAACAGTTTAGGGTAAACAAAGTTTCAGGTTATGTAATGCTGTGTGTTCCTGGATGGTGATTATAAAACATTTTTTATTTAATTTAAATTTTCTTGTATGATCTAATAAGTTTTCAATTTTTATATTTTAATTACTTTTGTTAAAATATATATAACAATGTATAAAAAATGGAATTTAGCACTTACGTTAGCCATGGGACAGTTTGTACTCAGGTGCTTGCTTTCGTAAGCCTTCTTTTTTCTAACATTTTACTGTCCAAAAATAATCTGTCTAGCTTTCAAATGTACATTTGAGAACAAAAATCATATTAGACACTAAGACAGAATGCATCAGAACTACTATAATTTACCTGATTTTCTAACTAAGGTATGAAAACTTCTATTACTTTTCAGTCCACACACACACACACACACACACACACACACACACACACATCAAGATCTATTGAAATAGTGGCTTTTACCAGGAAAACAAATCAGAATATTGTTAGAATCATGCAGTTTACAACTTGGCCTTTCTATTGGTTATAAATTTGTATCATTAACAAGTATACATGAGCAAATGAGTGATTTCAAAAGCACAAAGAGTTAGGAGGAGCTTCTATGGTGGGTGTGATAAATTTATTGATACCTCAGAAAATGGGAGGTTCCTATTTTCTGGCCTGTCAGTATCTATAATCTATATCTAATTGATGGAAACTGAAACCCATACAAGGGAAAAAAGAACATCTAAAAAATAATAATTAAGAACATAGAGGGTTATGTGACACAGTGAAAAATAAATTTGTTTAAGTATTTTCTTTAAAAATTAAGAAATTAAAATTTAGATAATATACAAATTTGATTTATAAACTGTGTTTTAGTACTACATTTATTGATGAACATTGCTGATAAAGTGGTTTAATTAAACTTTAACTGTAACTCTGCAAGAAAGGTTGTGATGTGCACTTTTACCCACACTCAACCTGTATCCAGAGCATTCATGGCAACAAGTGTACTTGAGATATGATAGAGGAAAGTAGTTTCTTTCCATTATTACAGGAGACATGGACGTTATTATCATAATCTTAGTAACCAATGGCCAAAAGTTTCTTTATCTGATATTTCTATTGGTTCTCATGATCATTTTTATACAGTCTTTATTCTGTAAAGTTCTCTTGAAGTCTGGAAGCCTTCAATACACTCAATTCTCAAGTAGTGTTTTCATGAAGTTTAGTTATTCAGATATTCAAATTTTAGTGTAACATTTGCAGGACTAGTAGGTTGCATTTTCCATTACATTTTCTCTGTAACTTTGTTTTTATGGTTTCTTTTTTCACTCCTGGATGGGGAGAAAAAGGATTATATTTATATTTGTTATATTTCTAAACCAGACTTTTTTGTTTCTCCTCTAATTTTAAACTTTCAATCAAGCAGCTCATATCTTTTCCAATTTTTTATTTTCCTTTAAGTTATGTATCTGGCTTGCTGTAGGAAGAGTATTAACAGACAGACATCACTGTGTCAGGATAAGCTATATACCCTTCATTTGTTGTCTGGACTTCATTATTACTAGAAACATTCAAGCTTGTTTATCATTGTTATAAAATATTGCAATTTTTAATGGAATTTAGTGCGTTATATCCATTTTTTTGTCTACCTTTTTTGTTTTGTTACTAGCAGTGTTCACATACTTAACATATTTTATGTCTGTTATATAAAAGAAATAGTTCTAGTACATATAATTTATCATTTGTTTCAGAGCTACCCTACCACTTCAAGATTCTCAGGTTTTAGAAGACAAGGTAAAAAAAAGAAAGTTGTTGTATAGATTTATTGGTTTTTGAAGACAATAACCTTGTCTGTTTTTCGTTTATTCTATTTAAGGATGAATGTTAGTTGACAGATGTTTCTTGAGATAGGATAGTCTAGTTTCTTTAATGTTTAGCAGTACAAATTTCAAAAAACAGTTGTACATTGATCTCTTCTCATTAGTTATCACAGATTTAACTCTGCATATTTCAATAGTTATCACAGATTTAACTCTCTGTATATGGACAAGATCATTTTGACCAACCTTATAACCATTAATTTTCACAGAATATGTGAAGCTTCAAGTAAACATTATGAGTCTGTTGTACACAAAAAAAAAAGGTTTTTTTGATAAAATACCTTTACTAAGGATTTGTCTTTGACTTTACCAAGCTTTTACTGAGTCAGTTTGAATGAAAGGTGATTTTCATGCTAAGAATAAAAATAGTTTTCATTTAACACTTTTCATATTTCATTTGTGTAATCTTTCAGATCTTGTTAATGAATATCAAGTTTTTTGTTTTCTTTGTAATATTTTTCTATCTTATTTTCTCAACTTAATGCTAACTGTATTGAAATCATCAATGTACATTGAAATGAAAAGTTGAAAATATGAAATAAAATCTAAAATTCCTTTATTTATTTATTTTCTGATAGAATGACTGCAAATTGTAACAGACAATTACAGTTTATATTTTATCAGCTTTCATATATTTTTTTGGTTTTATTGCACTGTGAACTCTCATCCTCAGTACAAAAAAAGCAATTAAACTTCACTTGGAGAGCTTAAAGTAAACAAATGAATCAAGTTACATCATGTGACTTCAAAATGTATGAATTGCACCAGTTGAGTGGTAATGAGAAGTGTTTTCTTTATTTTTTATTTTTTCATTTAGGTTTTATCTCACCTAATAAATTTCTGATTTTTACATTTTAATTAGTTTTGTTAAATGATATATAAAAATACATAAAATAAAGAGAAAATTTAAGATTTTTCACCTTGCCTGTAGGCACATTTATACTATATACTTTGATAAGGCTGTTTTTTTTTTTGTACACTATGTTATCCACAAAATACTGTGCATTTGAGAACACAAAAGTAATATCAGACACTAAAATATAATATCCCCAAAATACTGTAATTTATCTAGATTTCTAGCTGAGCAAAAAATAGGTTAATATAATTCACATGACACAGAGGAGTGAAGTCAGAAAATTTATTTAAATTAAAATGTAGATGATATAATTTGGATTATAAACTACATTGTAATGCCAAGCTTTCCAACATCCATTGATGATGAAGTAGTTGAAGTGAATTTTGAAGGTAACTTTATAAAAATATCATGACATGCACACTTTTACCCTCTTGTATTCATAGTGTTAAGAAGGCCTGACTAATCCATTTCTTTAATGGCTGAAATATTGTTAACATGGAAGCACCAACTGAATAAGTCAGTGCATTTTAATCATTCTAGGATCTGGTTTTCTTGTGTATTGATTTATAATATTAACTACTTCTTATCAGATTATTATAAAAAATTGGTTTTATTAGTTTATAAGTTACCATTTAAGTCTATTTCATATGCATTTTATTCAGAAATTCTTAATATTTAATTGTCCAATCTTAATATAATGGAGCAATGGTGTAGCCATCTATATCTACCTATTTGACCAAAATAATAAGTACAATGGTGCCATCGGTTGTGCTGAAATACAACAAGATCACAATGCCAGAAGTGGTGATTGAGGCTAATGAAATGTGGCGTCATCTGTTGAATGGCAACACAAACAAATATCCATAAAAAAAATTCACACTTTGAGTATTCAAGATTCAGACAATTAGAAAAATAACTGTGGTATGTGCAATAACCATTTCTTCATAACAGAACATAATTTTAAACAAAAGTACTCTCCTCACAACAAGAACTCTACTTTCACTAGGATTGTATGTGAGGGTTTGATTATATCTTTATTGATGTAATTTTTAAGTGTTTTACAAAAAACTATTATTTTTTCAATAAAATGTAGCATTTTTAATATATAAAAACATTATAGTTTATATCAGTAAAATTCATGAAAATTCTGATCTCTGTACATGGAATCATTTTGATGGAATGAGTTGCATATGACTGAAAAGCACAATCGGGACATTTTTCCCATTCAGTACTTCCCACAAAAAAATATTTTCTTAGAAAATGTTCATGTTTTTACAATGAGGTATATATAATATGATTACTAATTATTAGCACAAGGAGATGTGCATATGGTGGTGTTTCAAAAGGCTGATCTAGCTTCTTTAATGTTTGTATATCATATTTTTGTCTAGATTTTGTCTTATGAGGCTAGTTATTACAGATATTGTAAGATCATTCTAATCTGTTTTACTTCTGTTATTTGTCAATGGCTGTAGGAGACAAAATAAACTGATGTCTGTGTTTAAATATTGTTGATTTTAGTTGATAAGCTTCTTCAATTTTTAGTTTTTTTATTGTTAGGTGTTTTAAGTTTTAGTAAATAAGGTAAAATTTTCTTTGTTTTTAGTTCAAGTTTTGTGTGTCATTGGTTCCAGAAAATAGTTTAATCTAACTGTGAATGGTATCAATCCTCAAACACAGGGGACAGAGCAGTAGAAGATTAACTGTTCTGCTTGGGAAAATGAGGAACATTAACATGCAACAGGTCAAATGTCAGATCTTCTTAGAGCCAAGTTGTTTTTTTGGCACTTGGTGTTTGCACAAGTAGTACATTTGTTGTTGTGTTAGTATCATACGATGCACTTAAAAATTTTCCCACAAAGATATACATGCAGAGAATTTTATTTTATCTTGTAGTTATATGTTTGTATACTTGATACATTTAATATCTTTGACATTTCTTGCTTTTTATGTTGCTGGTTGTATATGATTGACCTTCTCACTCAAGCTTATCTAGTATTCTAAAAATTTATCCTTGTTCATCTAATGTATTTTTCTGATTTAGAAAAATTTTACATGTTGTGCCATATGAAGGAGAAATAAATATTAATATTTATTAAATTTGTCATGTTGATATTAAAATCTCAAATTTGATACCTGTCATTTTGTAAGATTTGTGTGAGTCATTTAGTATGGTTGTTCTGATATAAGAAAACTGTATATATGTGTGTGTGTGTGTTTGTTTTAGAAGGCTAAGGATAGTGAGAAGTTAGAAGATAAAAAGAATGGACACACCTTACATCAGGACTTGTGTTTGATTAAAGAAAACAATAGATCAGGAACTTTAACTATTGAGCCAACTCTAAGTAGTGATGGTGAGTTCAACATACTTATAAAAGCCTCATTTTATTATTTAGAAGTTATTTACTGTTTTGTTTGACCCCACTGTTCAAACTAGTAACTTAATAGAACTTTCTTGGCCATTTATGAAGGTGAACAGAGGGGAAGAATGTCTTACTAGGATTATCTTCACTGAAAGTTGAAGTTTGCAAAGTGTGCTAAAGAATCAAGAAAATACAATTTTCAGATTGTTCAGAATATAGATCCTTCTAAAATTGCTTGGGAGATATTCTGAAATTCTTGGAAAACTTTTAAACTTAAAATTAAGTAGAATGTCAATGAAATTAGAGTTGCTTATATTTTCTAGTACATGAACTCAGCACTTAAGTTGTACAAAGAGATGCACACAATCAGGCATTTGACAGTTGTTGTTTTTTCTCTGGTAAGAAGGGAATAATAATAGTTGTTTTTCTCTTTCTGATAACAAGAGAAGGGCATTCCCTCCATTCTCACTCAAATTGAGCTCTACATGTACTTAATTTTTTTTTATTGCTTTTATCTTTAAAAAATCTGATGTAATACTTGTTTTATTTTAAAACGAAAAGGTAACATTTGTAATGATCATGTACAAAACATTTGCACTTGTTTGACCGTGGTGTTCAAGAAAAGATTAAGCTACTTTTCAGATTAGTTAATGGTACATTTTCTCTTAGAACATGACAGTACCTGTTGTTTACAATAACTAAAGATTGTACATATTTGAATAAGACTGTTTGAAGCTCACAAATTCAAGTTTGTTCTAAGTGCATGGCTTGTCTTTTTGTTATTGTTGCTGTTTTCCTTTCAGTCACAGAGAAATCATGATTATATGCTTACATGTATCTTTGGTTACATTTTAAGCGTAAATGGTTCAAAGTGTTGGGATCTTCTAAGTATGTAACACATTCTGTTATTATTCACAGAAACAGATGAACAGTTCTCAACACCACCTAGCACAGTTTCAAGTTCTCAGCAGAATGGTAATATCTTGAAACTTGATATATCTGTTCTATCACAGACAAAAAATGTTGATACTGAGATAGAACAACCAGAAACACCCCCCAGGAGAAGAGAAAAAAAGAAAGTTACACCACCGGTAAGTTTTATTTTTCACATTGTCTAATTGTTTTATTGGTGAAGGAAAAGGTAAAAAAATAAATAAACCTACACCACTAAAAAACCTTATTTCATTGTTGTTTGAATAAAACTGTTTTGTTGCTAATGGTAAAACCTACACCAACAGCAAGTTATATTTTATTTGAATAAAAGTTATTTTCTCTGGAAGTGATATTAAAAAATTAAACATATAAAAGTTAGGAGAAATTAATAACTTAAGAAAGAACAAGATAGCAATTTTTGGGAAATCTTAAGTAAGCTAATGTGGTTTTATGTAAGTTTCAGTGTTGGATAATCTGGCCAAGAGAGTTATTTTTTTGTATAAAGAAAGTATTGGATATGGTTTCTAAAAACACTGAGTTACAGGAGTTAAAGTGTGGTATTTGACGACTTTAAATTCTGTGTTTTCAATGATTCCCACGAGAAATGTACTCAGTCTGAAATATGTAAGTGTGTTTAAATGGAATGTCTTCTCAAACTCCTAAGCAGTTCACAGTTATAAAAATTACTCTACACTTATCATAAATAGGACTACCATTTCTTTATGTAAAAAAAGTAAAAAAAAATCTTTGGCTAAGTATATCCACAGGTGTAGATGTTCATTGCAACTATTTTTAGTTCTAAGAATAAATATATTTTATTGAGTCATTTTTCCCTTCCTCCCTAAATGAATATGTTGGTATCATCATTATTTGGGACTGTCCACTAGAATAAAAGGCATTTCTGGCTAACATTTTGTATAGTCTCTAAAATATATAACTCAGTTTGAATGTTATGTTCTAGCCACATTAGAACTCATATCATAAGAAAAGCTCAAAATAAAGTGAACTTAAGAATTTCTGAAACTCTTTTAAATTCCAATCTGAGACTAAATTAACTAGGCTCATTATCTTAATCTAAAATTTTGAGCATGATCTAAGTTGTATTTTTTCTGTTATTAGTAATGTTGTCTGTTAGACTTGTTTATGAAGGGGAAATGATTTAAAGAAATCTATGCCAACTATAAGCTCCAGTTTTATGTTGTTAAACTGACAATTTTGATTGCTGAGTTATAAGGAAGAGGATATACCACATGATAATCATTCAAGTTGAGATTATTTTGTATGTTTTTGTTTACATTATAGCTCATTTTGCTGTTTGACAGTATTTTTATATTTTTGAGAACTATCATTGGAGTGTTACTGTTTGAGATTTTAACAACAGTTTCTTTCTTATAAAAAGAAGTTATATCAGTTGGTTATGGTGTGGAATTTATGCTAGTAAACACCTATTTTATCTATCTTTAATACATACATATATATATTTATAATAATTTTTATTTTACAGAGACCAGTAAGCAATGGACTTCCACCCACACCTAAAGTTCATGTATGTTTGTGATTTTTTACATTTCATTAAACAAGGTGTCTTTTTGTTTGGTATGTCTCATATGAACCATTCTTAAACAATTTCATGTAATTATAGCTTTACAGTATAAAATATGTTATGAATATTATGAAAAATACTTAAGATCTTAAAAATTATTTTGGGGTATATTTTTTATTTGTTTAAATTATGTTTTATAAAATGTTAATATAAGTTTTGAAAAAAATTTTATGTAATTAGTTTTTATAAAAAGTGTAATTTCAACAAAGCTCAATAAAATTCTGAAAAAAAATATGTTATAAAGTAAATTAGGTGTGAGATCTGTTAGTATATTTGTAAACCAAGAAATTAGTATTTTTTAACTTGCTTAATGGAAAGATTGTGATGTATCTTGTTAATGCTGTTAAAACATTTCTGATTGTACTAAAAAAAATGGAGGTAAATTGTGAGATAAATCCTTTAAGTGATATTTTGAAAATGTTAATGTTATTAGTAAACTAATATTAATGTGTGTAATGTTAAATTCTATAAATAGTATTTAAAAAAAAAATCTGTATTTATAATAAACAACATAAAATATATGAGGTGAACTCTTTAGGTGTTATCTCAAAAAGGACTATAGTACACAAATTTTTTAACATAATACTTACTAGCTGTTGTCAATGAATAACTAAAGTATTTCTCTTAGATGGGAGCCTGTTTTTCTAAAGTATTTGATGGATGCCCACTAAACATTCATTGTACTGCTTCGTGGGTACATCCCGACACTAGAGGTAAGCATTTTATGACAATGTTCAAAAGTGGCATATCTCAAGTATTCTTAACTTTGTCCTGAATTTATCAAGAAATAGTTTTGCCAACTTTTATTTTCCTTTTAAGTTTTTACTCTAAATAGTGCTACTAATTTTTTTTAGAATAATTTTGTCTTAATTTATAAAAAAAAGAATTATGAGTATACTTATGCTTTGGAAGCTTATGCAATGATTTTTTTCAGTTTATGCATTTAAGCATAATACTGAATTGAAAATAATTCAATATTTAAATAGTTATTTTCTTATTATTTTGCAGACCAAAATATACTGTTTGGTTGTGAAGAAGGGATTTATACCTTGAATATGAATCAGCTCCATGATGCTTCAATGGAACAGGTACATTTTTAAAACTTAGTTGTTTACTCCTTCAGTGGAATAGATAATTTTTTAATTGCTTTAATATTTGTGTCTCCACAGAGAGATGTACTGTTTTTCTATTGTTTCTTCTTTATTTCTTCTTCCAAACACTTTTTGATTGACTGTCATTCCATCATTTTCTGAAGAAAATGTATATTTTTGGCTTCTGTGTATTCATATTTACTGCAAACAATAAGAAAATTAGTACAAATACAAATTCCCATTCACCCAACATACTGACATACATATTGACAAAGTTGGATTTGCCCATTTTCAGCCCGTTTTGGGGATGGGGTTAGAGCTCACCAGAAAAATCATAATTTGGGGGGTCATGGTCAATTACTTGGCAATATTTTGACCAATTTACATGAGATTTGGTACAAAGATAGTTCTCTACAAGCAACACTTATAAATAAACAAAAATGGTGAACTTGCCCATTTTTAGTAATTATACAGGGGGTAAAGATGACACAAAAAGGCATAATTGTAGTGTTTTTTTGACAGTTATTCTGCCATATTTCAGTCACTTTACATGGGATTTGGTATGAAGAAACTTTTTACTGGTCCCAAACAAAGATATACACAAATTTGGAGTTTTTGACTTTTGCTCAATCTTTCAGTGAGAAAGGCACAATTTGGAGTTTTTGACTTTTTCTCAATCTTTCAGTGAGAAAAGCACAATTTGGAGTTTTTGTGCTATTCAACTTACGTGGAATTTGGTACAAAGATACCTTCTTGCAGGTCCCAAGCAGTGATATAGTCAGTTTTCAACCACCCCTTCGACGATTTTTATGGTGTCAAAATTAGCTATGTTTAGTTTGTGTGGTGGAGACATGTTCCATTTACCTACCATTGTTTGCCTTTTTAACTGTGTTAAATTTAAATATATACATATATTTGTGTGTGCTTATGTATTTTTCCCAATAAGCATGCAGCAGTGAAGGGTGAACACAATCTAAGAGGTACCATGCTGGACATACCTGAGGTTCCATGGTTAGCATCTCATTACTGCCAAAACAATAGCTTAAAAACTTGCACTACACACTTAAGAAGCATGGGTGTATCTATAGTAAAGATAGTCAAATCCCACTAGTTGGTCTGACAGGAGTAGCTGCCTTCCCTCTAGTCATCTATGACATATATCCATTATATCTCTCACCACAAGCAGGTCAATGTGTGGATGCCATGACATTTTAGAGGGTTACTTTCAAAATTTAATTGAACTACTTTTTATTATCATGGTATACATATAAACTTGGCTTCAAGATGCAGTTAATAAATCAAATTTAATATATACGTTTTAAGTTCTTAATTTTATTAGGAAATATTAAGAAAAATCCTCAGTTTTGTGGCATTTGCTTTCTAGGTCTTCCCTCTTCTCTAATTTATTTACCACATCTCTAAGAAGTATTGAATTTAAGGTAAATTACTCATTATTAATATAGTTATCACACAGGCAAAGTGTAATTTTTATAGTCTTTAATCTTATTTTTTTATGGAGCTATAAACTAGAAAATCAGACCCACTTGCCATGCATACCATTCACATCCTCCACTTTCACAAGTTGACAATAGTTTATTTTTATGTTTAAGATTATATTACTTATAACCAATAGAAAGCTAAAGTTTTAATCTGTCAAATGACGTATTATATTACATAGTTTTCTGTACAGAGAATTGTCTATTTTGTTTCCAGGTCAAAATTTATTCCCACAGGAAGCACAATAACAGTCAGAGCTGAATTTTTAACAGCTCCTATTGCATTGTTAGAAAGCCATAAATATTATGATAGTTATAGGGTACTCTCTGCTTTTTACATGTTATTACTCTGTGTTCTTAATGTATTGTTTAACTGAATAAAAAATTTAGTATATTAGTACTATTAGTATAAAAAAGTTGAGTTCAGCTTTGTCAACAATAAAAAAAACAAGACTCGGGTAAAAACTATATTTCTTATTTTTTATGTTTGTTCTCTATTTATTATCATAAAAGTAACTAAAATGTAAAAATTAGAAACTTGTTAGGTTAAATATGGTTAGATTAGGTACAATAAAGAAAAATATTAATATTAAAAATGTTTCAAGAGATATACTTGTGAGCTACATGTTTGCTGAGTGAGTTACAACTTGGGTGGTGCAGTTATTAGTTGGACATGGTTTAAAAGGGAATAAAATTGAAATAGAAACAGATTTATATTGTTACAAGTGTAATCTCTAAAACCTCCTAAATATATTTAATTTTTTTTTTCAGTAAAACTTTATATTTTATTTATTTTCTCTACCCTAACTCTATACAACATTGGTTAATTTGACCGACCTCGTAACCACCAAAAAAAAATTGAAATAAATCTAAATAATCCTTTTTTTCTTTTTAGAATGACTTTAAATTGTAATATGGAACTGCATTTGTTTATCTTTAAACTCATAACAGTATTCATCTATTTATAATTAAATTTTATTGCTCTTTGAACTTTATCTAACTGCTGTTCGTGCCATTATAAGTTGTAAATCACTTGCGGGAACGTGGAGGCCACATTACTCTATTGAATTACCTTACCCATGTGCTACTCCAAGCTGCTCACATGCATGCCTCATGAAATATTTTAATTATATTATTATTTATTTTATCTAATATAACCTTAACTAACCTAAAAAGATCCCTATTTTTACATTTTAATTACTTTTATAATAATAATAAATAAAGAATGAACAAGAAATAAAGTACATACCCAAATTTTTCTTTTTTTTTGCTGCTGTTGATGACACTTAACCCTACATTTTTTATACAGTTGCTGAGAATAATAACATGCAAAAAGTAGTATAAGGGTGATATAATCTCTTGTGTGATGACATGTAAACTCAAGTATTTATCACATTTTACTCTTTTAATTAAAAAATATAATAATAACATGCAAAAAATAGACAATTTCCCCTAACTTACAATTTTTTCTGGCTTTCTAACTATGCAATACAAATTCATCCAAACTAGTTGTTATCTTTCCCTTGGGAACTATGCTTCTACTAAAGGTGAAATTGACAATTCTCCATTCAGAAAGTAATGTAATGTAATAATCATTTGATAAATGAAAACCTTGGCTTTCTATTGGTTATAGATAATATAGAATTAAACATTAGAGAACTATTAACATATCCTGAAAGAGAGGATGTGACAGGTGGGTGTGGCAGGAGGGGTCTGATTTTGTATTTGATTGCTCTATAACCAAACAAAATTGAAGGCTATAAAGATTATGGTTTGTCTGAGCTATGACGATTTTCTAGTGAGTAATTTACATTGAATTTCATACTTATTTGATGGATGGTGGATAAAATAGAGAAGAGAAACTAGAAAAAATGTCACACTAGGGAAAATTCAGGATTTTTTAAAAATATTGCCCTATAAAATTAAAAAATTAAAACTTGTATACTATTAAAATATAGATTATTAGCTAAGATTTTATGCTATACTAATTGGTATAACATAAACAGAAAGTAGTTTAATAAAATTTTGAATGTAAGTCACTGGTGACATGTCGGAAAGTATGCCCATAAAAATAGTTAGATCTTCTTTATTTGAACAAATATTTAAAGCTTTATGTACATGTCATGAAAGACAGTTTTGTAGACTAGTGGTGATATGATCTTGGGGGATCACATGGCAACAGAAATGGTTTTCTGTAAACTCAAGTAACTATCACATTTTACTCTTTTAACTAAAAATATCTAGAAAAAATTAGGCATTTTGCTATATCTATTTCTAATGTAAATTGTAATATAGAGTTGCTGAATTGACATGTTTGTTGAAATCTTTTGACATTGCCATGCTGCCCATAACATTCATTAGATAGGAAAGAGGTTGTGCCACCCCTATTCTCAAGTATTCTGAAGTATTCTCAAGAGAAATCTAATTTGATTTTGTGTTTTTTTCATTTATAATTGTCACTTATATAAAACTTTGTTCATGTGTTATTAACTTTTTCGCAACCAGTGCCCCCTTTAAACATTTTTCTGTGTAAGTCATTGTGTTAGATTCAAAATTTAAACACCTTTATTATCAATGTTTGTGAATGAAATCAGCATTATAATATATGTGATCATTCGAATTTTTATGTTATCTAAGTTTTAAGTCCTTTATTTAAAAAGAAACCTTTAAAAACTATTTAAAACTTCAGGTGTATTGTCACGTGAACAACAAGCTTTGAAAATTCTCTACTCTGGCACTCTGTATCTTCAGTAATACAATAGCAGTTGTGTAGATTCATGTAGAGACTATAAGATGCTTGCATAATCTTTCAACTTGTCCATTTCAAAATTCTTTAAATGAGTGCAGTGGAAACAAGTACTAAATTTTTTCAACCCTTGACAGGTGCTACACCCACCTTCAACAGATTTGTTTGAACATTATAGCCTACATGTAGATGTTACATACACATGTGTATAGTCATTGAGAAGAGCTCATTTAACACTATAATCTAACAATGAGTATTTTGAAATTGATGTACATTTCTCATCGTGGAGTACATGTAACTGACTGTAGTATTATTGGCTGTTTGATCGATTATAGCACTTACAGTTGTTTCTTACCTAAATATGTTATAATTAGAGATACAGTTAAATCATATTTAGGTCTTACTATTATATTTTAGTTAATTATGTATTAGTTATGTTTTAAAATGCATAATTGAAGGGTATAAACGTTTTTAAAATATACATCATATTTTGCATCATTTCTCAAGGCTTCCAATATTATGTGGTGCACAAAAATATGCCGAAAGGTTGCCATGTCTGCCACAGATAGCGTAATATGTCTCAAGGGTACTTTTGACTTGTGTTGAGATGAATAATAAGTGTATAGGACAAGAAAGGAAAATAAGACACTAAAAATTAACTACATGTGAAAAAGAAAAGACTTGAAATTACAAATATAACCAAAAGAATATCTTTAAAAATATCTTTGTTTTTCTATTTCCAAATTTTAATTAGTTCATTGCATCGTACATTGATTATAACAGCTAGAGTTAGTGATATCGTAGAGAAAATAAAATATGAATATTTACCTTAAAAAATATTTGATATTCTTTTAGGAGATTCTATAGATTAGACAAATGAAATATGAAAACTATAAAATGAAGAAAAGTATCTCTGTACTTAAAATGAAAATCACCTTGCACTTAATTCGTTAAAAGTTTGAGCGCAAGTAACTACAATAGATATATAACATATTTTTAGTAAAATCACTTAATTAAAATAATGTCATTCTTTGTGTACAAGTTTTTGAGAGGATATGTTAAAAAATCTCAGTTGTTGCACAAGTAAAATTCAGGACACCTTTTCTGCAAATTATATGAGCCCAAGGCAAAAAGGTTAATAGATACTGTAGAGGTAGCATTTTTTATGTATTAGAAGTTTTCTAGGTATACAGAACAATGTTTTATTTTATTTGTTTTTCTCACCTTGATGTAGGTAAACAATAATATGAGCATTTATTGGATTATATTTTATTGCTATTAGAGAGGATTACATCAGGGACTTGTAGGTAGATAGAAAAAAGTTATTTGTATTGTGTGCTTGCATTTTCACATAAAGACATTTAGTAGTTAGAGAGAATAGATGTTTTTATTGTATATTGGCAGCCTGAGAGAAAGAGGTTCAAGCTAGAAGTGATGTAGATGAATAGAACATCTGTATTTTTGTTCATTGTGTATTGGCTATTTCACATAAACATTAGGCCAAAGGTTTTTCTAGTTAAGTCTTTCCATATGGGTCACAGGTGAAAAGCCATCTCATCGTGTTTGTTGACTCGCATTCAAAATTTTATTGAATTACTATTTCAAGAATTTATGTCAATAAGTTTGGTATCAAATTTTAGTATTATACATTATTCATTTTTTTAATATAAAAGTAGAGATTAAAAAAATGCAGTTAAACATCGATGTTGGAGTGTCATTTGGTATGTTGAATGCAGCACTGGTTAAAATTAGATGTTTATGATGTCAAAATACTAAGTCTGTAGTTTTGTATGAATTAGGAACTCAAATTACCAATATTGACAGGCCAGAATATAAAATAAAAGCCTCTTTTGAATTTGCTAAGATATTGCTCATGTAATAAATCAAACACAGTTGCACTCTTCCCGCCTTTTTACATTTTTGGAAAGGCTCCCTTATATACATTTACTTCTATATATGACATGAATAACCAATCTAAAGATCAGAATGTCATCATTGTGGCTTTGTCAGCCATTTTAACGTGTTTGGATGCCATCTCTTACTTTCGAACCAAAATTTCAAGGGGGTAGGTTGTGTCTTTAGTCTACTCAAAATTTCATATTTTTTTACACTGAAATACAGCTTAGTTACTAAGCTTGATAAATTATAGTGGAATTCTATGGTATTGATGTAACAATTTATGATTTTTTAGTTATTCAAATGTATATACAGATAAAATCTTTAAAAAAATTATTTTGTTTCATATCCTCCATGTGCAAAATTTTAAAAGGCTTAGCAACCTACATCATGTAAATGTGACTATTTTACAAAATACTAGTCTACTAAAACACAGCCAAGACAATTTACTTTGTAAAGACTAAAGGTTAGTTTTATATCATTGGATATGGTAACATGATTGCATGTGCACCACATCATTGTAACTTCTGTATTGTTAGCCAGGCATGGCTGAAAGGTCAGTATAATAAAAATAATAAATATGTATGAATGTATAACATTGAGATTTAAGCTATTTAGTCTAAACATTTATGTTTCCGTATTATAATTTGTAGTCATTCTAGAATGAAACAGGCATAATTTATATTTTTTTCCTAATTTTTTAAAGGTGGTTACGAGATCAGTCAAATCGACCAAACCCCTTACAGAGATTCCTTACTGAAAATAACAGATAAAATATAGTTTTTTCTTAAAAAAACTTATGATAATTATCTGGACATTATAAAGATTTCGCATGTGAAATTTGAAAATTTTCAGATGGACAAAAGTATTTTTAATCTTAAAATGAAAATTACTTTGCATGTTAGATAGGCAAAATGTGAAAAAAAAAATTAATGAGAAAAACATTGCTTTACAAACCTTAAGAGTTAATACAAAAATTTATGTTTTGCGTATGAAAGCATTGTAATGTTTACTGATAATTTGCTAAGTTTTGTTAACATACACTTGCTAATTTAAAAGTTATAACATGAAATTATAACAAGCACAAAATGGTTACGAGGTCAGTCCCACGGATCAAGCCCATGCTGAAAGAGTTAGATAGACAACAAAGTATTTTTATTGTTGTTTTTTTTGTAACAGTGGTAAGCACTTTATGGTAAGATATCTAAGTAGAATTCTAGTGGGTATAACAGATTTTTTAATTCATGTTGAAATCTCATAATTATCCCTTAAAATAAAATTTATAAACTTGGATATAATCAAGATATTGAATTGAATTTTTGCTTCATATAATAATGTTGAGTTATGAGGCGGAAAATTAAAATGGTAATAGATGTAGCTTTTTATTTTTGATGAATGACAAATACTTGCTTTAATAATTTACGTTTTTTCATCAGCTATATCCAAGAAGAACGACATGGATGTTTATAATAAAGAATATCTTGATGTCTCTTTCAGGTAGGTATATATATCTATATGTGTGTGTGTGTGTGTGTCTGAGTGCACATGCACTTATGACATTGTAGCAATATGTTTTTCTGATGGATGTATTCAATACTTTACCAAAGGAAAATATATTTATTTGTTGACTGAGAAAAGAAATTTGAAAATGTGTAACTTAAGGATGCATACATCCTCATGAGTTAATTCATATTATATGGCCAGTATATCATATATATGTATGGAAAAAGGAGCTTAGCTGTTTTCTTTCATATCAGTTAATAAAAAAATTAATTAAATGCCTGATTAATGTTCTAATAGTTCTCTTTAGCACTTTTGCTATAGACATCTTTTTCTGTGAGTTTTTGTGAGTTTCATTCAAAATTTAATTAATCTACTTTCTTATGGTATACAAATAAACTTGGCATATAAATGTAACTAATAATACAGATTTTGATATTATATAGGTTTTAATTTTATAAGGCAATATTCTAAAAAAAAATCCTGAATTTCTCCTACTGTGAAAATTGTGAATTTGCTCTCTAGGTATACTCTATTCTCTTATTTACCATCCCTCCAAGAAGTATGAAATTTAATATAAATTACTCATTATAATGTTGTTATGGCTCAGACAAAGCATAATTTTTATAACATTCAATCTTATTTAGTTACAGAACCATCAAGTGGAAAATCGGACCCTTCTTGCCATGCCTACTTGTCACATCCTCTCTTTCAGAAGTTGCCAGTAGCTTACTCTTATGTACAAAACTATATTATTTATAACCAATAGAAAGTCAAGGTTTTAATTTGTCAAATGACGTATAATATTATATTGTTTTTGCTTACAGTTCAAACTTTATTCCAATACGAAACACATTGACAAACTTAGCTGGGTTTTTAATGGTTTTTGTTGCATAGTTAGAAAGCCAGGAAAATTGTGATAGTTATGGGACATTGTCTGCTTTTTGCATGTTATTATTCTGTGGTCTTTGGTGGATTATTTAATTAAATAAAAATTTTAATGCAATAGTAGTATTAGTATAAAAAGTTGGGTTAAGCTTCATCAACAGTTGACAGCAGAAAAATAGGAGATCCAGGTAAGTACTTTATTTTTGTTTTTCTTGTATATTCTTCATTTATTGTTATGCAAGTAACTAAAGTATGAAAGTTAAAAGTTTTTAGGGTAGATTAGAAGAAGAAAAAAAAAATGTTCACGAGGAATGCTCACGAGTATGCAGTTCAATAGGCTAACGAGCTCTGCATTCATCAAGAGATTTACAAATTTTATGGGGGAATATTATTTTAGACATTATTTTAAAACAATAACATTTAAGTATAAACAGATGTATACTGTTATGAGAGTTAAGCTATTTAGGATAAACAAATGTAGTTTTATGTTACAATTAGAAGTCATTCTAGAAATAAAATAAGGGTAATTTAGATGCATTCCAATTTTTTTTTTTTTTTTTT